ACTTTATCTTGAATGTTGTAAATTGTTTAATTTGCATTTTTGCTTGGTTTTCTTTAGGCTAAGCTGCGTTCTCGAATTCGCATAGCTGATGGTCGAGCTAAACCAATTGATCTCTTGTCGAAATATATTAGTGATCAGGATGAAGAAGCATCAGACATCGCTACCACAGACATAGCGAGTGCAATAGATATTCTGGAGCCAACCCAATTCCTTCTTGGTCTTACTGTAGAAGACCTTGAGGATCTCCTGGAGGATATCAAAGTAAAATAGTTACTGTTTTGTAAATTGCTTATATTAGCCGTGACCTTTTTCTCGCTCGCTCTTATTTTTCGAATTTCATTTTTTTCAGTAGCTATCTACTTGCAAAACGAATATAGATCCTTATATAATCCTTACATGGCCTACTGGCAACTAAGAGTGGATCAGGCAAAAAATTGTAAAGATGCTAATCACATTTTCCCGAGGATCGATTTAATTAAATTCCAACATTTTTATTGAATTTATAATGGCTGATGGTGCTATGGTTAATTTAATCATAGTCTTTTTTCGCTTTATACAAGTAGTTTGATCTTATTTTCGCAATGTGATCGCTTGTAAGATGAACCTTGATAAATTTGCCTTATCCGGAGTCTTCAGTCAAAGTAGTCCCGATAATTTCTAATGTAAGGATGCACCAAGTCCACGTTCCGATATTGGATGTTATCATGACGACCGGGACATTGGACTTCAGACAAGATCTGTTAATCGAAGTCCCCCTTCTACTTACTAAGTTTTGTAAATGAAGTTGAACCATTTGATTTCACGACTCCGCCTTGCATAATGTGGATCCTGAATTATTCAATAAACATGCAAGATTATTTCCCTTATATTCTCTCACCAATATATTCTTCCATTTTATTTTCACCATGAATTTACCTAAAAATCATTTAAATAGATAGTCTACATGGAATTAGAGAAGGGTCGCAATGCTGACTATTGGCGAGACATAACCATTGTTGCGGAGGATGAGCTCCGGAAATTGAGACAAGCATCTGGCCTCAGTTCATCTAACCGGAGTGATGGCCGAACTTCTGCCACCATTAGTCAGGCTGTGCTTCAGTCTGTATCTCAAGCTTTAAAAGGCAAGAGCTATAACCAATTAGCGGCTCTTGAGCGTCAGGTAAGATGTTTTTTTCCTGCTTACCAGGATACGCGGGGTAAATGTTTGCTAATTTCTTAATTGAATACACTGCGTGGCACAAGTGGCAAACCATTTATATTTGCCCATTTGCGTTTAATTATGTCATAACCTCCATATTATTTAAAAAACATAGCCCGATACTTAAGTGTTTAATTCATTTTTATTATCTTTAATGGTTTATATATGAACGAAGAATACAGAGTTCATTTTTCTTGTCAAATACTATTATTTTTTCGTTCTATTTGGCTAATTATTTGTGTCAATTTATGTAAATTTTTAATATATCATGTCTTTATTCATGAATCCCATTCCTTCTTTCGTATTAACTTAACTTCTAGCTACTTAAAAATTATTCATTTTATTGATCTGATACAGATCCAACCCAAACTGCTTGGTGGTGAAGGTGTTGATGTCAGCTACTGGGAGACTTTATCTCAATATGTTCGAGCCCAAATGGCCCGTACACGGCTTCGGGAACTACATCAATATAATTTGCGCAGAAAGCTGGAATGTTTGCGTCAAGCCCAGGGCGTACTTTCAAGGCCTATATTCCCTAGCGGAAATTTAGACATCTCACTTGTTGCAGATTTGGCAAGTGGGGCGAATGTAGAAGTTGATCCCGGAGATACATACAACCAAGATAGTAAAGACAAAGCAAGCTTACCTCTTACAACTGATCAAGGCGGTGGCCAGTCAGAGTTTAGCCATTTTCCCTTAAAGGTATTAGTGTTAGCATTTTTGTTAACACTGCATTGTTATTGTTTATAAGAATGGGGATTAGCCTTTTATTACTAACTTGCATAATTTTTACAGAACTAATTTCTTTCCTTTTTTAGTGATGCTTACTTAGTTTACTAAAATATCAGTTTAGATACCGTTCAGGATCCTGTAAGGAAGTTCTCTCAAAATTAGCTGAGATATTGACTCTAGCTTATCTGTTAATCTTTTATCGGTGAGATTCTATGTAGGAGGTTAAAAAATTAGCATGAGTTTATGTGACTCGTCTTGAGCTAGGTTTAATCATAATTAAACTCGTAAAGTATATTTTCCAAGAA